GGATATTAATCTTTACGCAAAAGCATCCTATTATTTTTTACTGCTATATCAACATTCTACTCTTTGCGGATTTTCAATTGCTTTCCTCAACCTTTAACCTTTACCACAATTGAGCCTCTGTCCCAGTGTTTATTAGTTCTGTTTTTTCTGTTAGTCCATCCAAATGTATTCGCCATTTTCTAGAACTACTAATAATCCTGACAACTTGTCTCTGGAAGATGTATTAGGTAGTTTGTCCATTTAACAAAATTAGATTCTGCTTTGTCTAACCAATTCAGTTTACTTAAGGAAGGTGAATTATTCGATTTAACCATTCGAGTAAAAAGCTCAGAATATCATATGGATCGTCTTGTTGCCTATGCTTCTTCTGGAAGGCTCAGGTCCTTGCTATCTGCCAACCCTAACAATAGCGTGATTGAAATTAACGACGAGACCGAAGAGAACTTCTCAGCCCTACTCGAGTTTTTTTATTCTCTTACTCTTAATCCTAATGTAAATCTTTCGGATTACCTTCGTATTGGGTGTCGTTGGAAAGTAGATGAGCTACTTAAAATTTTAGCCGTTGAATGTTCCTCTCAATTTGATCAAGATAATTTTGTGCTAAGTGAAATCGTTCAGGCTTATAAGGATTTGCCTGACAATAGCGCATTAGATTTAATGCTAGGACTGTTTCGTCTCCATCCCTTTGATGCTAATTGTATGTTTCTTTAATGCTATTCAATTTAGTTTCCGGATTCTTTGGTGATTTATCCATTATAAAGATTTGTTCACTGCTTCTAACTAAGAAGGTTATGATGAGGAGGGGCGATACGGTTTACTTCGGGTCTCATTATATTGATTGCGCCAATGAGGTATATGACTCTCCATTTGAACCTTTAAGCTTTTAGATTTGCTTTCCAAAAGTACCCATATAGACTTGCACCTTGAGGTTATCAATGACACGAGGTGCAAATTGCAAAAGTTCAAGTCGGAATCCTCTGCAGTATTTCCTTTCGGTTAACCTATTTAATAATTAATCTTAAACATTAGCTCCTTCTTCCCTGCTTGCGTGTCCCTCTTTTGCTCACCATTCCTCTATTGACTACGGGTTAGTTTATATAACAGTATAACTTGATTT